CTCACTCACTCACTCACTCACTCACTCACTCACTCACTCACTCACTCACTCACTCTCTCACTCTCCATCTTCTACACCGCTGATTTTAGGGTAGATCAAGCATCCAGTCCACTAGAATACGGAATAAAATCACAGAGGGCCGATGTGCACGTTGCACCCATTAAAGATCCCTTGGTGGCTGAAATCGTTGGCTATAAAGTCACCACCAGAGGAAAATTCAGAAACATTAATTCCCTAACTTAAAATATGTCCCTGTCATCATACTTGTAAGAAGTAAGACACCTTTTATAACTTCCTTATTTTCAAGTGTACCAACCATAATATAAGGAAATCAAAATCTAAAGGAAAGGAATCAGTATTTGTTCAATCTGCTACCTCTATGTCTACCGCCTAGGTAAAGCCGTATAAGGCTCCATACTTTAGTCATTTTCGATATCGATGTACAGCTGAAGGAGAAGACTATGTTATGGGTTTAACGCCCCTCTCAATACAATGAGATCACCTTTTAGCAGAGTGTGGTAAAGAAATCGTGGCGCAACTTGTCAAATATCTCCTTATCTATCGAACATAGGTTCTCCAATTTTGGCACAATGACTTGTGTCAATTTGACACAAACTGCCCTTGCAAATTATGGATGACACTGATTCAACCGTTAAATAGATATTTGAGGATAATTATAATCCATATTATCCTATAAGACGGAGTTCTGTGGGTGGAGAGGCATGAAAACTTCCAACTCAAGGTTAAGAATATATTTTGGCTAAGCCAGCGTTATCCGTATGGAAGCCTAGGGTGTTCTTACTGAGATGATGGAACGCCTTCATGGTTTTAAAACGTTATGAACCTAAGTGAAGTTCTTTTCCTCATCTTACAATGCCGTGCTCGATTTGAGAGGGAGTCAGATCAGATCGGATTGGTTTAATGTGCAAGGTTGTCAACATGCCTTCTTTCTAATCAAAGACCCACACGACATTTCAGTCGTGAAGGAACTCAACTTATTCATGCCAGATTTAGTGTTTCCTTTAAACATAGGGAACGAACATAAACAGAACAAGATGGGGATATTTAGAGCATGCTCTAAGAATGCCGAAAAAAAGATTGCCCTATCAGACATGGTATTGGAGACCAATCGGGAAAAGAAAAAGAAGTAGACACTGGAAGCTGCAGAGGCACAGAAATGGATGAGGCTGTCACCCAAGGCCTGGATGTGCCGAGATTGGAGAACGTGGCCAAGGACGGGCAAGCGTGGCGTCGACTGCTCTCCGTCTTATGTACATGAGAGTATAGGGGAGGCAGTAAATCAAACATGGAATATATGCCAACGCAGGTGGTTGGAGGGCGTCTCTGACAGGTCGAGTAAGGAGATGGCACAGGCCAGAGCGAATGATCCTTGTTTGAATCTCCAACCAGGGGTTCAGAAACTTCCGTTTTCAGGGGAGAGGGAAGTTTTTACGTCTCTCCACCCACAAGTCTCGGTCTGATCTGAAATGGACGATAAATTCGAGGATCCAACCTCGTAAATCGATTATAGTCTTACTATGTTTATGGTTTTACATCCATATAATTTTCTGCCTTTTCCTTTTGGTTTCAGATAATCAAAGCCCGATTCGGAAAGAGGGCTCACACTATCTTCTGTATGTTTGCCATTCTAACTAATCTCGTAATTACAATCGGAGTTCTGCTGGCCGGCAAGGCTACCATACAGGTAAGATTGGCATAATATTATTATCTCAGTAATATGCGTAGTTTTCTCCGCAGAGTCTTATACATTGTATGCATTACATAAACATTGGGGATGTGAGTACACTTGTCATGCTTTCACGAGCTCTTTCACGCATGTCTAGAGCTGGGCGAAGAATCTAGTCGAGAACCGATTCCCAAGACTAATGCTACGAAAGAAAAGTTCCGACTCCTTTTTACGTAA